AGTATCTCCCCCGCTGCTGATGTTTACACACCGCACCAGGTACTCATTTCGGGCTGTGTCGACCAAGGAGAGAGCCCAGGATCGCTTTAGATATTCCTCGCCGATGTTGGCCGCGAGCTAGAATCGAACTCGGGTCACCGGCTTGGAAGCGTCAGCGCCACCGCTCACCTACCCTCCCAAGCACAAGCGTCACCCCTTTTGACCTTGTGTGCGACCCGGCCACGTTTAGCCATCAACATTGAGCACGAAGAGATCGATAAGAGATCGATAAGAGGTCACTTTCTCGTGAACAGGAGTACACGTTGTGTGCAATGGGCTCTCATCACCCCCTGCGGTCACTCCCCGTGTAGGGCACCGGCATTTAACCCCCCCCCCCCCATGTAATAGAAACCCAAACTGCCTAAAATAATCGATATCTTTATAATTTGTTTTCATTGAAAAACAATACTTGTTAAGAGGGGTTTAAGGGTTTGTCTGTTAAGAGATATAAACCACTTCAGCAGTTTTTTCTTGCTGTGGTCGTCCCACCTGATGACGATTTGCTTGTGTTGCGATCGAAACGTGACTTCACCGAAAGAACCAAAGAGTATGTATGGATTCCTGCAGTCACGAAAGCTTCAAATCAGATACACAGTCGTACCCCGGTTTAGGTCGGAGATGCGTTCCTGAAAGGTGCGAAACGACGTCTATCAAAGCGATGTACAGGGTGTAGGTGCAGGTGGAGGCTAAGACTGAGAGGTGACAGATTCGAGGAAGGATGGACGATGCTGTCTGCCACGTGTGGGGTTGAGGCGATGCAAATCGGGTAGCGGTATTCATAATATAGAGACGTGTTGGCGAAACGATATTGAAGGGGGATAAGTAAATCGGGGCATTGTCGTGCTACTCGGTAACGATTGACACGCCGATTTAAAAGTTGCTCATCAAGAATGAAAATGTTTTTATCTTCAGGCCCCATGGTGTAAAGTGCAGTCTCTGGTTCTCCAATAATAATTGACATTTGCAAAGCGCAGATCCCGATGCGCCGTGTAGAGAAAACAGAAAACAACCGGAACAAAATTCATATTCTTGGTTCTTTCGGTAAAGTCACGTAGAAGGGAAATAATAAAATAATAAAACATGATAAAATTCTCACGACGTTTCGGCCACAACGCAAGCAGCCGTCCTCAGGTCTTTCCTGCAGCTCTGTTCTTCACTGAGGACGGCTGCTTGAGTTGTGGCCGAAACGTCGTGAGATATAAAAAAATGTTTTATTATTGTATTATTTCCCTTCTACGTGACTTTACCGAAAGAACCAAGGATATGAATCCCTGCAGTCACGAAAGCTTTAAATCGAAATTTAAACACATTCCTGCGGAGGGAGCTGGTAGGAACGTTGGGTTGCTCGGTCAATGGCCAGGGTCAACGGCGGCGTGGTGTATTCCGCAAATATGCCCGACTGTGAGGGCGGGCACAAGCCGGCGTGAGTAGGTTAAACGTTGAGTTGTATAAGAGCACCACGGGGTGACCAGCCCCTCCCCACCCAGCCCCACCTCTCCCACCCCCCACCCAGCCCCACCCTCCCCACCCACCCACCCTCCCCACCCAGCCCTCTCCACCCAGCCCCACCCCTCCCATTTTTGGATGCACGACGGACGGACACAATAATCCCCTGTGGGCTGGTGGAACCAGGTGGTTCCTACCAGTACCAGAACCAAGTCTGTCTCTCTGGCCTCTCTGTGTCTGTGCTACGAAGAAGGGCCATTGTCCGAACTGTCATCTGTTGTATACGTATCCTTTTTAAGCCCCACAGTGTTATCGCTGAACGTGTTGAGTTGTTTTGTTGTTTGGGTGTGCTCCATTGCCATTCCTTCCACCTCTATCCAGCAAATAGGCCGGGACCGTGCGGGTGTTTGCGTGTCAGGAGGTGTCACTTGGCACGAATTCCTCAAAATCAACAAACACATTTCGCCTCGTGTGTCTCTCTCACACGCAAAGACACAGATTCCCCCCCCCCCCCCACCGTGTAGCCTTCGCAGACTGTTGGGGCAAGTGCTGTTGGCGAGTAGGACCTATGAAGGCCGACACGACACACGAGGGGGTGGGTGGCCAATTTCACGCCCGGCCGCCTTTGTCTCCCTAATGGCAATTTTTTTTTCTTTCATTTTTACACCGCACCAGGTACTCATTTGAGGCTGAGTCGACCTAGGGGAGGCCCAGGACCGGGTCAGACAATCTTCGATCTCGGGGTCGCCGGGTTCGTAGCGCAGCGCTAACCACTACGCTACCGCTGCCCGCTCTCTCTCTCTCTCTCTCACTCCTCCCTCCCTCCACGAGGGCTTTAATAGAAACCAGGCCCTTTTACAGTCACTCTGGCACAAGCTGCCTCGTGACACCAACACACACCTCCTCCCACGCACATCTCCCCCCCCCAACACTTCTCGGGGGTGAGTAAATAACTGTTGCGTGTATGTCTCTCTCTCTCTTCTCAAAATCAGCAATGCTAAACCTCAGCTAGGCTGGCTGTCCAGAAGCAGTGGTGGAAATTCCACGTTTTCGCGTGGCACGCCGATGAGGGCAATGAAAAAGATGAGCACTGAATGTTGAATTGTCACGAAATAATACACAGGTTTTTTGTTGTTGTTGTTGTATCAACTCCGGAAAGATGATAGATAGGGCTTAGTCGATTGACCCCCCCAACCCCCTCGTCATAATTCAAACTTGTGGCTATATCGCTGCTGGCATGCATGCCTCTTGCACAGTGTCACGAGTCATGGAGGCAGGGGGGTTGTTTGACCATATTTCACCAAGCTGGTGAGTGCGGGTTGATGGTGACGGATGATGTGATGGAAGCGATGCTGTGACGTGCCAATGGATTTGAGAATGAAAAGCAGCGTGGACAATGTGCCTGAATATAGTTTCCAATCGGCGCATGGCCGTATACAGTGTTGGCACATTAAACTAAATTATTTATTATTAAGAAGCGACCTGGCTGTCGCTTTATATAGCAGTGGCCAAAATGCTCTATAAACGTGTGATGTTGATTCTAAATGGTGGGTGGGTGCTGGTGGGTGGTGGTGGGTGCTAGTGGGTGGATTGGTGGTGGGTGGGTGGTGAATGGTGATGAGTGGTGGTGGGTGTGGGTGGGTGGTGGTGGGTGAGTGGATGGGTGAGTGAGTGGGTGAGTGAGTGGGTGAATGGGAAGGTAAGTGAGTGAGTGGGTGAGTGGGAAGGTGAGTGGGTGAGTGGGTGGGTGAGTGAGTGGGTGAGTGAGTGGGTGAATGGGAAGGTAAGTGAGTAGGTGGGTGAGTGGGTGGGTGAGTGGGTGGTTGAGTGGGTGGGTGGTTGAGTGGGTGGGTGAGTGGTTGAGTGGGTGGGTGAGTGGTTGAGTGGGTGGGTGGGTGGTTGAGTGGGTGGGTGGGTGGTTGAGTGGGTGGGTGGGTGAGTGGGTGGGTGGGTGGTTGAGTGGGTGGGTGAGTGGTTGAGTGGGTGGGTGGGTGGTTGAGTGGGTGGGTGGGTGGTTGAGTGGGTGGGTGGGTGGTTGAGTGGGTGGGTGAGTGGTTGAGTGGGTGGGTGGGTGGTTGAGTGGGTGGGTGGGTGGTTGAGTGGGTGGGTGAGTGGTTGAGTGGGTGGGTGGGTGGTTGAGTGGGTGGGTGGGTGGTTGAGTGGGTGGGTGGGTGGTTGAGTGGGTGGGTGGGTGGTTGAGTGGGTGGGTGGGTGGTTGAGTGGGTGGGTGGGTGGGTGGTTGAGTGGGTGGGTGGGTGGGTGGTTGAGTGGGTGGGTGGGTGGGTGGTTGAGTGGGTGGGTGGGTTTGGGGAAACCGGAGGACCCAGATAAAAACTCCACGCGACCACGGCGAGAGAGAAAGGGACACGCAGACTCCCAACATCCAGCAGCCGCATCCATCACTTGCCTCCCTCCACTCTGCCTCTCTCTCTCTCACGAACAAAGACAACCCACCCCCTCCACCATCACCTTGACAAGATTGTTGGGGGTAAGTGCCGTTAGCGAGCAGCGATGTGTCCTACACATCGCACCAGGTACTCATTTGAGGCTGAGTCGACCTAGGGGGGCGGCTGGAAAGGGGGGGGGGTCCTGGCCCCGGTTCAGACAATCGTCGCCGGTGTTGGCCGTGAGCGCGAATCGAACTCGATGATCGCCGGGTTCAGTAGCGTGGCGCGCTAACCACGACACGGCCGCTCTCTTGCCAAACCCAACCCTCCATCCTCCTCCTCCTCACCATCACCATCATCACCACCACCACCAACCATCATCCACCCTCTTCCTCACCATCATCACCACCATCATCTTCACCATCATCACCACCACCATCATCACCACCACCAACCATCACCCACCCTCTTCCTCACCACCATCATCACCACCACCAACCACCCTCTTCCTCACCATCACCACCACCATCATCATCATCACCAACCACCCTCCTCCTCACCATCATCACCACCACCACCATCATCATTATCACCACCATCATCATCACCACCAACCATCAACCACCCTCTTCCTCACCATCACCACCACCATCATTCTCCACCCTCTTTCTCACCACCATCATCACCACCACCCTCTTCCTCACCATCATCATCACCACCACCACCATCATCATCACCACCATCATCATCATCATCACCACCATCATCATCACCACCAACCATCAACCACCCTCTTCCTCACCATCACCATCATTCTCCACCCTCTTTCTTACCACCATCATCACCACCACCCTCTTCCTCACCATCACCACCACCACCATCATCATCACCACCAACCATCATCAACCACCCTCTTCCTCACCATCAACACCACCATCCTCCTCCTGCTAACCCAGAGAGTGGCTCAAACAAAAGTCTCCCTCTGCCTCTCCGCTCCCCCATCCCCCACGTCTCCCTCCCTCGCAGCAGCAACTTCTCCCCCTGCACTCTCCACCCCCTTCCCCCCCGACTCTCTCTCCCCAAATCTCTCACTGCCTCTCCAGACATTCGGCCAAAAAAATGTTTGGTCCTGGCGTCACAAATTGAGCCACGTACTGTACGGCCCGTGGCGGCATTTCAGAGTGGAGGAGGAGGAGAGAGGGAGGAGGAGGAGAGAGAGCGGCCAAACTTTTAGCTCCCTAGGAGGAGGAGAGAGGAGGAGAGGGGGAGAGGCGCGACTTTTAGCTCCCAAGGAGGCCGCCACGGAGCGAAAACAGCCGCCTCACATTGCCTGAGGTGAGGCCCGCAGACTCGCTCACTCACACAGACACACAGACACTCACACAGACACACAGACACTCACTCACACAGACACTCACACAGACACACAGACACTCACTCACACAGACACTCACTCACTCACACAGACACACAGACACTCACTCACAGAGACATTCATTCACACACTCACACAAACACTCACACACTCACTCACACAGACACTCACTCACACAGACTCTCACACAGCCACTCACACAGACACTCACACAGACACTCACACAGACACTCACACAGACACTCACTCACACAGGCACTCACTCACACAGGCACTCACTCACACAGGCACTCACACAGACTCATTCACACAGACACACACTCACTCACACAGACACACAGAGACTCACACAGACACACACTCACTCACACAGACACACACAGACACTCACACAGACACTCACACAGACACTCACACAGACACTCACTCACACAGGCACTCACTCACACAGGCACTCACTCACACAGGCACTCACACACACAGGCACTCACACAGACTCATTCACACAGACACACACTCACTCACACAGACACACAGAGACTCACACAGACACACACTCACTCACACAGACACACACAGACACTCACACAGACACTCACAGAGACACTCACACAGACACTTACTCACGCAGACACTCACTCACACAGACACTCACACAGACACTCACTCACAGAGACATTCACACACACAGACACTCACACACTCACACAGACACTCACTCACAGAGACATTCACACAAGACACTCACACAGGCACTCACTCTCACAGACACTCACACAGACACACAGACACTCACTCACACAGACACTAACACAGACACTCACTCACGCAGACACTCACTCACACAGACACTCACACACTCACACAGACACTCACTCACAGAGACATTCACACACACAGACACTCACACACTCACACAGACACTCACTCACAGAGACATTCACACACAGACACTCACACAGGCACTCACTCACACAGACACTCACACAGACACACAGACACTCACTCACACAGACACTAACACAGACACTCACTCACAAAGACATTCACTCAGACACTCACACACACAGACACTCACACAGACACTCACTCACACAGACACTCACACAGACACTCACTCAGACACTCACTCACTCAGACACTCACACAGACACTCACTCACTCAGACACTCACTCAGAGACTCACTCAGACACTCACACAGACACTCACTCACTCAGAGACTCACTCAGACACTCACACAGACACTCACTCACACAGACACTCACACAGACACTCACTCACTCAGACACTCACTCAGAGACTCACTCAGACACTCACACAGACACTCACTCACTGAGACACTCACTCCGACACTCGCAGAGAGACAGAGTGTGTTGACAGACAGGATCAGGGAGAAGTGGCAGAAGAGAGGGAGTTGACGAAGAACAGTTACGTTTATGGAGAGAGATGCGTTAATGGAGACATACGTTGGACCATAGATAAGTCGACGGAGAGATACGTTGATGGAGAGATACGTTGGAGAGAGATAAATGGATACAGATATACGTTGGAGAGAGATATGTTGATGCAGAGATAAGTTGGAGAGAGATACGTCGACTGAGAGATAAGTTGATGCGGTGAGAGAGACAGAGAAGTGGATGGAGAGATAAGCTGATGAAAGGAATACTTCGTTGTAAAAAGAGAGAAAGGCTTGATTGGTAAAGTAACAGTTTTTGGGGGAGACTGAAGTCGATTCAGAGACGTGACTTTACGTACAGCGGAGCTGATAACCGAGAGAGTGACACGAGGCGTGTGATGCGGGGAACAGAGAAAGCGAGATTTACGGAGAGAGGAAAGAGTGTAGTTAGTATAGAGAGAGAGTGAGATAAGTTGACGTTGGGAAGAAAGTTTTAGGAGACAGATGCAAGAGCAGCTGATGGTGTGGATAGAAATGTGTTGCAGGAGGACGAATATTGTTCGGAGATGAACTTCGATGCAGCGAAGCTAAACGGAACGAGAGGGGGGGGGGGGTGGGCGAGGTTGACAATAGAGAGATGGGGGGAGATAACCCGGTACAAATCGTGCGACTTTGGGTCAACGTTGTTGGCACTTTTGTTAGAAGCGTTGGGCGTTGGCTCCATGTTACCAGGGAAGGTGATGTAGAGAGAGAGACACACAGAGGAGTTGATATTGAGAGTGTGGCCCTGATGGAGTTGCTATTGAGTGTGGAGTGAAGTTGAAGGGGAGATGGTCGATTTCGATTTAAAGCGTTCGTGACTGCAGGGATTAATCTTCTTGGTTCTGTCGGTAAAGTCACGTAGAAGTGACTTTCCCTACGTGAAAGAACCAATAAGAGATGGTCGATGTCGAGGCAACTTGCTCTGGTTACACACAACCGTCCACTCACTCCCCCCCTACTCATTCTGCCCTTCGATGGGCTCGGTGCCTACTTAAGCCCGCATACCTGTCAACCTCTTATCAGTGCCTGCCCTTGTTACAGACCAATTCGGATCTTATTGGTCACCCCGTGCCCCTTATACATCTCAACGTTCATCCTGTAAAGTCCCATCACAAGGCAGAAAAACAAACAAATAGACAAAAACAATTTTTTAACAACTGTACTCCGTATGGACATGAAAACTCAATTTCCCTGTACAAGAATACAGGTAAACCGTATGGTTTGACAATTCCTTTTATTAATTTTAATTTTACCTACGTGACTTTACCAAAAAAACCTAAGAATATGAATACGCAGTCGTATTTTTGTATCATTATTATTATTGTTGTGCATTCATGTTACACCGTGGCTGGTGGATATACTCTTGTGTTTTTTCTGAGCCCTTCACTTGTGGCTGGAGAGAAGCCACCCACTCACCACGGCGGCGACTTTTTCCAGCGTGTATTTAATCCCCCCCCCGTGTTGATCAAGCGTTTAGGCCCTTAATGCGGAGTGCTTTTCAACAAATTAGGACCGCGCGGGGACGATTAGCTCACGGGGAAGGCCCCGTGCTGCGAACAGCAGCCCTACTCTTAGGTTTGTTCGGTAAAGTCACGTAGGTAAAAATAAAATAATTAAAATTAATAGAAGTAAAAATAGAAATTAAATAATAAATCACGACGTTTCGGAGGCAACACAAGTCTCCGTCATCAGGTGGGACCGTCACAGCTAAATTTACTGCACCACACTTGATCACACTTGATGCAGTAAATTTAGCTGTGACGATCCCACCTGATGACGGAGACTTGTGTTGCCTCCGAAACGTCGTGATTTATTATTTTATTTCTATTATTCTATTAATTTTATTTTTACCTACGTGACTACCGAAAAAACCTAAGGGTATGAATCCTTGCAGTCACGAAAGCTCAAATCTAGAACAGCAGCCCTATCTTTGCGGTGGGGCCCTCAAATCAACGCACGTATTTACAGCGGCTCCCTCTTGCTCAATGCCACCGTCGCCACCGCGCGAACGAGCAGCTTCGTAATTGCCCGCGAGCGGAGGCGACGAGTGTGGAAATCAGCCAGGGCCTGCGATAGTGTCGACTTCACCGCTGGAAACAAGAATCCAGATGGTTGGTAATGGCTGCGCAGAGCGGTGCCTCGGAGGTCAGGTGACGGGTGCGCAGCAACTGCTGGATCAAGCAGGATGAAGGAAGCGATGGCGATGAGGAAGACATTGTTATTGGCCGTTGGTGACCTCTTAAAAGCCAAGGATTGTTTCATAGATATCATCGTAAAGAGAGGGTCCTTGGCTGTCAGATCGGCAGTCGGCCAACAATTTATTCAAGCGAGCCTGGTACTGATGATTAGGCGCTGTGTGCCGAAATCGGGCCCGAGTGTTGCTTGTCTTGAAATAATTTCGCTGAAATGATGCACTCCCAGAAGGCTGTGTGGCTGACGGGACGTGTAAAAAATTACTTTCATAGATATTATTTTGTGACGTGGAGAGATGGATACGTTAAGTAGACTTTGTTTAGTTGTTTACCTTGAAGCAAGAAATAGTTTGACATTTATTTAAATTTGCAAGCCCTTTGTCAAAGTGCTGGTGCCCTGTCAGGCATGGCGGGAAAGGGAAAGGGCCCAGGACTGATTCACATATCCACTCGCCAATTTACGTTTTTAACTTTGGCCATAAATCGAACCCAGTACTCCCACGTTCGTCGCGCAGTGCGCAAAACGCTACACATCTTGTCAGGCGCGTGTTAAATCTGCAAATACTCTTTTTGTTGTTAAATGTGCATGCGAAAAGATAACCCATTTAAAGCAGAGATTTAACAGTTGCTGTAAAGTCCATGGGTTCTATTTACAACGTGGATCGTGCGCATTTCGTGATGCGTCGTATTAGCCATTGGCTTGTTTTTGTATTTTATCCCACTCAGAGCTGCCATTCAATTCAACGCACAAGTCACTTTACTTGACCCTCCCACTCGTGAATTTTGGACAGCAGAGGGACGAACATTTTCAAACAATTATCGCACTCAACTCAAAAATAAACAACAGTGAGGCTGAAACATTTAGTTTTTTGCCTTCCCGCCCCCCTCATAAAGGAAATATTAAGGAAGTTGATGTCGGTTTGAAATTGACGAAGCTAAGTCTGAATGTGGGTTGAGTGAAACTACTGTCGTGGATGTCGTCATCTATGACGTAAATCGAGTAGTTAATGACATTAATGGCATTAACTACTCCCACACCTCCGATTAGCACGGTTGACTACGTACGGTGAAAAAGAAGTGCAACGTACATCCATTGACGTAATTGGAAGTCAATTTCCAACGCCTCGATGCCCACACAAGAATTGGGGCAATGCTCACCTCTATTGCCATCCCCGAGCCAGTGAAGGAAATTCCATATTCCCATGATGGGACCTGTCTTCTACTAATACTATCATGACTTTATCGACTCTGGAGGACACATGGGACCGAGCCTTGAATTTCGATTCAATATCAGCCGGTAGCCGGCAAGCATCACGGAATGAAACGACAGTAAAATATAAGCAGCGTTACTCCGTGCATTGATTAGCACGCTGGCACCACGAAACCGGCAGATTCGATTGTGTCTAACATCGGTGGAGAGTAAATTCTACGCTCGTCCTGCCACCTCCACTCTGCTGGATGCCACCTCTCTGCTCGGGCTACGTAAGCGGCACGTTCGGCCACGCACAGTGTTCAACATGCGCACATGCGTACGAAGGGGAGCGCCGTCGGAAGTCCGCTGTTGTACTGCACTTCTGCTCTCGCGTCCGCGGTGCCCGCCTTCACCAAACCAAGCGCTGACGAGCGAGGTGAAGTACGGTCGAATAACCCCCGCGACCCACGCGGTGCCGGGGAGGCCTTCTCAGTTTTCTGTGTCATTTGTGGCCCTTGCCAAGTGTAAAAATGCAGCACCAGGGCTATTTTGGAACACAACAACAGAGGGCAGGGGGTGGATCAGGGCCGCACCCCGATAGCTCAGGGGGGACACTACAAACCACACGCCGTCCTTCTCCCCAATCTCTCTCTGTATTCCCCCACCCTTTCACCCTTTTGCCATTCCTATGATGTACTCATCGTACGTGTACGTCATCACTATCGGTACCGAGGCTCCTACAAAGCCATGCGGGAGGGCGTGTGGCACAGTTTGGCGCCAGCTATCGTGGCGTGCGGTCGTGTCGCTACGGTTCTCTGCGGTGAGTAGCAATGTCTTTAAAAACAACGGCGCTTTGCCTCTCTAAATAAAATTCACGCCGAGCCGCTTGCCCGTTCCGAGATTCGGCGGTGAACGGGACGACGCACCCTGCAACTTGCAGACGTGTCGGAACGGGAGAGGGGTTAACTTGCGACGACAATATCCCGGGGTCAACGGCTTCCATTAGAAGCGTACACCACCTTCGCAGGCCCTGCACGTGGCTTGAAACGCGGGCCCGAGGCTCTGCGACAGGATGAAAACCCAGAGTGAAAGTTCACTAGGAGGTGCACGCGCTGTCCTTTTGCCGATCCACTGCTGAAATGACCGCCTCCCCCCACACACCGTGCGGGTCCCACGGGAGGTTCTTTGACCATACTTCCCCATTCTGGTCAGCGCCGGTTGGTGAAGGCGGGCGGCATTGACGTCGAGGGAGTAGAAGTACCGGTGCAATGATTGAATCTGCCATGCTGCCTTCTGTGGCCCACCGCGTAGCCGAGCAGCAGCCGGTGACGTTCCTCGTTGCGCGTGGTGGTGATCGCCCACCCACGCACCACCCACGCACCACCCACGCACCATCCACGCACCACCCACGCACCACCCACGCAACATCCACGCAACATCCACGCACCATCCACGCACCATCCACGCCAAGGCCTCGCGTGGCTCTTGTGGCCATGACAGTTTTGGCGCGAGCGGCAGATGTAGTGGAACGTTGAGCGTGTAGAAGGTCAAAGTGGCTTAGCGCTTGCTTGGGCACGAGGCTCTGCTCATCTCTAATTTACAGCCCCCTGAGCAGCATGTGTTGAAAATTCCACATTGCCATGGCAGGGGGGGGGGGGGGTGCCGAGTGTTTAGTTAAACAATCACTGTTCACATCCCGCGGCGCTCATTTGATCTCATCCCAGGATGGAGGGATGGCGGAGAGGGTGGGAAGCTGATGGAATCCTCGACCGTTATTTGACCCTCTGCATCTCTTTGTTCGGACAGCGAAGCTCTGCTCACAGTGGCCAAACGTCATGCGACTACAACTAATACTCGTATTATTTTTTGTCGCGTATTTTTTTTTTTTAGCAAACGCACATGAATAGCGAGTGAGCGTCCCGTGTTGTGTATTGGCAGTGGCAGTGAGTGATGTTTACAGAGAAAGGAGGCTCGGTTCCGCTCAGCGATAAACGCACATTCTTGTCCGCATTGACGTCACCGTACCTAAAAATCTCTCGTTCTTGCCAAATTTACTTCTCTCTTTTTTTTTCATCATCGCCGGCCAAGGAGCGCGGAGCCGAGCGGTTGAAGTCAAAACTGTTGTTGTGTTTCATAAGTGTGGACGGCTTGGCTCACGTCGTTTCGTGGGCATGCAAAAACTCACATCTGCTGGGAATTACATTTCACTGGTGAATTCAGATGTCACCGACTTATGAATAATGACTGCATACATACCTATCCAAGAGACAAAGACAAAGCTCCCCCGTATAGCCTTAACAGACTGTAGGGGCAAGTGCTGTTAGCGTGCACCTATGAAGGCCGCCACGGCACACGAGGTGGTGGGTGGCCAGCACCACGCCCGACCGACCGCCTTTGTCTCCCTAGTGGCGATGTTTACACACCACACCAGGTAGTCATTTGAGGCTGAGTCGACCTAGGGGAGGCCCGGGACCGGTTCAGATAATCGTCACTGGTGTTGGTCGTGAGCGGGAATCGAACCCGTGTCGCCGGGTTCCAAGCGCAGCGCGCTAACCGCTACACTACCGCTCCCCACAACTAACTCAGCTACCACCCCCTTATCTACCCACTCACCTACCTACCTACACATCTACCCACCCACTCATCAACCTATAACCCACCCACTCAACTACCTACATATTTACCTACCCCCTCACCTATATACAAACGTATATAAGAGCTTTATAACTCGTCGGATTCCTCCAGTATAAATAAATATTCTGATTCTGAAATCTGCCGACCCACTCGTCTTCCGACCTCCCACTCCTGGTGGGTAACACACTAGTTACATCGTTTAACTCGTATCTAGGGTTGAATTTCTATGATACATTGGAGTATCAAATATCAGTAATAATCGTAGCATCTGTTTAGCAAGATATAATTATGCCACGTTGGCCGTGGGTCATTACGTTTTTCTGAAATGCGCCCGATCTGGTCATATCTCAGAAAACGAAGCCGGTTCCAGCCATCGCGCTGCACATTCGTAGCGGCGTTAAATCTGCACCTCTTTTCCCTTTCCTTCCCTTTTCTTTCCTGCTCATTGCCCCCGCCAATCTGCCCTGTTACACAACCGACTCGACTCCCCTTCCCGTTGTATAATGACTAGAGCAGCAGGCTTAAGTTGAGTGAAGCGCAGATGAGGAACCTTGTTCAGTAACATTTATTCATACTGGACGTATTTTGAAAAGCACAAAACCATCCGTACGGATTTGAAATGCAAGGCTATGGGAAACTGACATGGTAATCATCGTCGTGTCGTGAAATGTTATATTGTGTCGTGAACATTTGTATCACGGCCACCCTCCCAGTAAACGCGCAAGGTGTCGCCAATGTCGACGTGGTCAGGAACATTGGACCAACGTTGGCCCAGCGTTCCATATTTACTGGGCTACTTACGTACACAAACGACCCGTACACCTGCCCATCTAAACCTCTATCTACCCATCCATCCACCTGCCCAAACGGGTGGGTGGTACTGCAGTCGCACCTACGATTAGCACGGTTGGCTACGTACGGTGCAAAAGAAGTTCCACATACGTGCATAGTTAGATCCTTTGAAACGTACCAAGTGGGAAAAAAACAATGGGTGATAAAGATAAGGATCTGGGACCATGGAAAAACAGCAATGCAAAACGTGACCGTACACATTGACTGCATCCCACATCCAGCCAGGCTGTGATGTTTCCAAATTGCTGGAAGATTCTTGAATTAAATCCCAAGATGGGAGTCGAATTATCTCCATAACACCTACAGGAGAACATGAGAAACCACTCGGTGGGATGTGAATAGTGTTAGTCGTTTGGATCGACTATCCCCCACCCCCCAGTCTGCCCCCCCCCCCCCCCCCCACCAGCATGGGAATGTGGAATTGCCACCGCCGTCTCAGGGCTGCCAACGTTAACGAGCGCCGCTCTGTCACTCGTCTTTGTTTGGCCGCGGTGGCACTTTGACTGCTGACACAACTTGGCCAGAACAGCTGGAAAACGCAGAAGGGCTCCCAATTGTGGGTTGATGAATTCACATCCAGGTCATGCCAACTGACCACCGACACCATCACCCACCGCCGCCAGCAAAGTGAGCCTTCGTGGCCCAGATCACTCTTGTGAATGAGGCTATGCGGAAATCAACTTGACTTGCCCGGGGCGAAATGCGTATCACGTCGTGAGGTTGGTGGCACGTTCCCAGTGCCCGTGTTCAGGTGGGACTGGGCCCCTTCGTAGGACTGTATAACTTGCCCCGGCTGACTTAGAAATACCGATGAGTAAAATAACGGAATAAAAACTAAACCCAGAGGGAGATTTACTCGCAGACAACGTAACACAAAAACCCGTTATTATAATAATAATAAGATCATAATTTTCACATTTATAAATCGTAACAAAAAATACCAAATGATTATGGCTCAACACACATTCAGGTATGGGGACACGGCCATACAGCTGCCGCATGTATTATTTGATAGCCTTGTGAAATGAAGGCCTACTTATGCCATGTCAGTTATGGAGTACGTTTGACCATACACCACCACACTGGTCAGTGCGGGGGTGTTGGTGAAGAGGTAAGGGTGGCAGCGGGTGGGTGGGAGGGTGCCGATAACCGGGACCGGTGCAGATATCACTCGCCACTGACATTATCTGTGGCCAGTAATCATCAAACTTGGGTCACCTGGTTCACAGCGCGGTGCGTCAACCGCTGCGCCTCCGCTCCGCCCCATGTGTGTGCGTGAAAAATCCACGCGTGGTTCCAACTCCCCAAACGGGTTTCCAGCGAAAAAAATAAAAATAAAGTCGGGAGTGAGCGATGGAACCACGGCAATGGCCATGCTCCACCGCAGGATTGTCGCGAGCTGGACCGGCTGGCGACAACTCCCCACGCAACTCGAAAGTCACGATCGCCGACGCCGATATTGCGAGGGATATGACGGCGACAGCGCCGCTGAGGGAATCCGGCGAGCCAGAGATTGTGGTTAGCGGAGAAAGAGCGGTAATCGTTTTTTGCCCTCGTGCTTCGAGGGGCTGCGAGGGCGCTCCGGTAACGGAAACCCGAGCCGGGGGGCAGCTGCAGGATGGGGGGGGGGGGGGCGGTGGCGTGCGTACATGGGCAAGGCCCCCCATTAAACATTCATGGGAGAGGGGGATAGCTGGCACATTCGACCCCTGCAAAGTGCCGCCGTGGTTTTTTGTCTCGCATGTTTAATCCAGAGGGAGTGATTCACGACTCTTGATGAGTGATCCCACCGGTGACGATGATGATGATGATAATTCACCGCGAACGGAAAGTTGGTGTTCACACCTCGGCGTTGGCCAAAGCAATCGCGGCAATATTTCAAGGGGACCTTTTAGCCCACCTAATCCAGCGTCGCTCAAGTGTTAATCCAGCATTGCGACCAGCATTAATCCAGCATTACAACAGCATTCGTCGAGAATTCCGGGCAGCATTAATCCAACATGAGAGGAGGATTAACCCTGGATCCCACGGACGTGAACCCATCATCCAATCAGGATTAAAGTACCTAGCCGGCGTGGCTCGGTGGGATGGCGAGTGGCTCGCAATTGGGAAGGTTGCGAGTTCAAATCCTGGTTGGGGGTTCACTCAGCCCATCATCCCTTTGGGGTCGATAAAATACGCACCACTGTGTGTGGGGAAGGCAACAGTGGTTGTCCTGTGGATAGACTCGTCCCCACGATAGGAAGGTGTAATATCCACCGCAGGCTCAGGGCTATACACGGATATAAGCACTGTCACAATGCTCATTTGAGCAGCAAATCACTGACTTGACGATCTACAGCGGTATTCTTCGCTCATTTTCAGAGGGGGGGGGCACTTTCGCCGATAAGACATCATCAGTGTGTGAGGGCCGCCACACATTTGAAACAATTGGGTTTTGACAGCAGCACGATGATGCGGGGGGGGGGGGTGTTTTTATCCTTTTTGTATTGTCGGAGGCCGCACTAAAGGCCCCCGGGCCTTGCAACGAAGAACACTTATCTACAGTAAACCAGCTGCCCTCCAGTATTAATCCATTGTGCTGTCTCAATTAACTTGTTATTTATTCTTTATTCAATGCGAATTAATCCAGAGCGTTAACATTCACGTAATTTCACTGCCCAGGTGTGTTGTGGGATTCGAGCTGAACGCCGCGTTAGCAGGTAGAAGGTGAAAATACGCTGAGCGGGTTCACCGTGATCACTCGCCATTTGTATCGTCCGTGGCCAGGAATGAAAATCGGGTCATCGGGTTCGTGGCGCAGTGCGCCACAACCATTTCTTCCTCTCACTCCAC